CCGCCCTAAAGAAAGCATTTTAAATTGAAGCCATTAAATTCATCAGGCGGCTTTGATGTTCTTCGGCTAGTAGCTTTGGATTAGCGTTACGACAAGCAACACACATGCAATATTAATGTCGATTTAGCAGTTAAATGGCACTGATTTTTGAAACAGTAACTTAAATTTTCTAAGGAAGTTTAGAATTTGTGACTTTGATGCGAAGTATAACGTCACTTACATTATGTAAGTTTTTGTTGAATATTCAGCCAGAGCTACTGGGTTAAAATGGCGTAAATTCAGTCTCTGATAAGATTTTCAATAATGTTGGCTGTTAACTAATGTTGTAACGGTAACATCAGCAGTAGATAAACGTTGTCCGTGTAGGAAGCAGTGTTCACATTCTTCTCTCCCATAAGAATCTTTTCTTATATGAAAACCCTGCAGAAAAATTGTAACAGCTAGTGTCATCAGGGTGTTGCTACAATATAATGACGTTATTGCGAATATGAATCAAGCGAAACAGCGCTTCAGTCCTGATATGGCCGAGCTTTCGGAATTCGAAACGGTATTCCTTTTAAGCGCGCCGTAATAGTATGTAAGGAAGCTTGAATCTCCTTCACATCAAATAAAGGTTTACTCTAGGCTTTGGACTGTTCTTTTAATTGATTTATCATTAAGGTTAATATATCTTTTGAATAATGAACCAACACTTACATTTAAAGTTATAATTTAAATTATGCGCCCTTAAGATTGTGCCTGGTTTAAAATTTCAAAGTGAAGTTATAATGAATGGCACCAATAGTGTTTAATTATCGTTCGACTGGTGAATCAGTACCGAAATTTAAATTGGTACATGTTCCTCTCTGGTGAACCCGTCTAATTTGAAGCTGTGGAATGAAGTAATACCAGTTGGTGCTGTTAGGGATTGTACATCTCTGGAATAGTGAACCAACGCTGATACTTAGAATAGTAGCGTAGCTCAACTAGTTTGAATTAATAGGCTTAAGTACCCCCAACGAAACAACACTTTAGGATAGTTCGGAATCAGTTTCGATTAAATATAAGACTTTCCAAGATATGTTTCCCCACTGACTC